ACCCTAAGTGACTCATCTCCCCACTACCCCTCTGCAAGGTATGTGCAGTTGTCTAGAGATGGGCATTGGGTCTCCATCACGCGCCACCCACTTTAAACACCAAAGGTGGGGAGGGGGAATCATTATATCATGTTCTTTTGAGCATTTTCATCTATGTATGTTTCATTTCATCTTATAAAATGTTAAAAGTTAAAACAGAACCACATTCATAAAAATAAACTATATCTTAAAATTGTTGGTAGGTTGCTGTGAGTAGCTTCCAATTCACCGTAACTCAGAAAGAACAACGTTATACAACAAGACATGGTACAACAGAACAACATTGCACAACAGAAAGAAACATTGACTGGGCCTGGGCCAGCCTCACAATAATGTATTTGGGCCATTGTTGTAGCCATTGAGTTATTCCATCTCTCTGAAGATTTTGCTCTTTCCCCTACCCTCATGTTTAATAAACATGAAGTGCTTTTCCTGGGGCTGCTCTCTTTTGAGAACATGTCCAAAGTACACTTTTTAATAGAATTCTCATTTTCATTTGAATATATATACATGCATATATATATATATATATAACTTTGGTGATGTAATCACATTGTTCAAGACAGGGTAAATTGTTTTTGGAAAAATGAATAAAATTAGTTGAGTGCTAACCAAAGAATTAATAATTTCCATTGAGTTTTAATTACATGAAAAATATATTTTTAACGTATAAAACTAATTATTGTCAGGGTGTTTTAGAAACATCTAGAGGCCCGTGGTACAGTGGTTAAGTGTCTGCTCACCAAAAGATCTGTGGTTTGAACCAACCAACCACTCATCAGGTGGAAGGCTGTGGAATAAGGTCTCTGCTGAAATCAACGTGACAGCAGAGGGTTATTTACAGAAACAATAAGACACTATTAATAGCCTGAGGGTTTTTTAAATCCAATAAATATACTGCTTAAGTTTTTCTTCATTTTTTTCTGTATCTCTGTTTTAAACTTCTCACTGATATTTGTTTATAATGACAGCATTAATTCAAGAACAATGCAGTTAAAAATTTCATTTGTCATTAAAATACTGTTTGTCTTGTATAAGAAACATTTAATTATACCAGAAAATGTAACTGGCTACCATATAAATAATACTCTCAGATGACAAATCAGCTCATTACTACTTTTGTTTCTAAAATCTGTGCAGTTACTATAGATATTACAGATATTCATTTTTTTATCTTTAAGGAATTGTATGCACAGAAATCTTTCATAGCAAAATAATTAGCAGAAGCTTGTTTTATGCTATCTACTATGTTAGATATAGCCACTCTATGTTCCATGTTTTCAGTATTTCAAAATTCTTAATTTTCTTTATTTAAAGTAGGCAACTATGTCATTTCACTTGCCAACCCATTTTAAAAAATGAATGAAATGTAAAGATATTGGGTAAGGATAGAGACTCAAACTCCAAAGAATTAATTATCTAATATTTTCCCAGCGAGTTGAAAAGAGCTTTTATGGTCACCCACTCTGCTCAAATTCAGTAATGCATTAATAGAGAACAGAGTTTCTTTAAAGAAATATATTTTCTTTCTGTGAAATATCTTTTTAATCAACATTTCAAAGTTATACATTCCTCAAATGTTTTCACATACTACACATCTATGGAAAATCTTTCATTTTTTTTCATTGTTCTAAGGATAAAATGGGTTGCAGTGTACAGCAGAGCTCAGCAGAGTTTTCAGTGGCTGTGATTCAGGAAGGACTTTCTCATGAGGCTTCTTCTCTTGGGTGTTCAGGACCCGACGCGGTTTCTCTTGACATCTGAGTATTAACTATTTGCATCACGCAGAGTCTTCTATTTAAGGCTAATTAATGTATGTCAATGACATTTTCTTTCTAGACCTCAGGCAACATTTGTAGAAACTTTCCGTTGCTTGATCTTCCTAATGCTGTGTGAATTTGGGCACCTGAAACTTCTGATACCTTCGTTCTCATTGGCTTTTGAGGTAAGACATTTGGTTTTGAAAATGGTAACATGTATATACTATTGTGTATTTAATTCATTCATCAACAGGGCTTTCTAGTTATTTTGTGACTAGTAACTATGTGTTGTTGTCGTTATATATCACATTGTTCACTTACCGCTATTTATTAAGTTTATCATCTTGAGCTGGCTGATACTGATATTCCTGACTTTACTGGTCACAGAAAATGAATAATACCACGAGCCACATAGAGTTTTGTAAAATGTATGCTACTTAAGGTTTATAAAGAAATTTGACTGCTTGGTACATTCTTTAAAAGTGCAAGAAGTGATTTTGACAAACATCATACCATTTGAGAATTTTAAAATATAATTGATAAAAGTGATGACTCTGAACATTACTTTGCCAGGTGATAATTTCATAAACGCCATTGAGTTTGTTGTGGTTTGTCTATGACTACAATATATGTGGTGGTATGATATACTATGATAATCAGAGCTTGTCTTCTAAGAAATAGACCATTGTCAAAAGTTTTTATTGTCATCCTAAGTGCTTTAAAATACAATCATTTTAAACAAAATTAATGGTTTTGTGATTTACTTTGATACTGAGCAACCTGTCAACATCTCAGAAATATACAAAGTACAACCTTAAAGAAGCATGACAAGTACTAGCATTCTTCCCAAGAACAATGGAAAAGCAGGTTTTCAACTAGACACTGTCTTCATTTAGTCATGATTATAAATCGGAGTCATTTATTTGTAAGACAATTTGGTGCACCCGCTGACATCACATACGATTGTTCCCCTACAAAGTAACTTGGTACAAGTTCATGTGCGGTCTTATGTGTGTTATCCCATTTAATTCATTGTATCAAGCACATATGTAGTTACTAATATAAAAAATGTAGGAAAGCCAGAACATGTGTAAGGCAAAAAACTTGCCATCGAAGGAAAGCACAAATAGTCTGCACTAAAAGAAGCCGTAGAAAAGTAGTAAGCTGGGACTTTGTCAGCAGTAGACTACTTTGAGGCCTAGGAAAATGAGGCAGAACCTTTGCTTTCTGGCCCTCACAGTTTTCCCCAGTGTTCTTTTTGATAGATGAGACAATTGAGGGCCAGAGAAGTTAAATCGGCTTAGTTCACACAGTTCATAAGTGAGCCAGTCAGGATGTAAGCTCAGGCAGTCTGATGCCATAGTTCCTAATTACCTTGCAGGATGTTTCTTCCATATAGTAATAGCAATACTCATCCACTTCAAAGGTTTCATGTGAGAAATATGGATACAATACAACAAATTGCATTGAATGTGTGAGGAATTATATAAAATGCTTTGCCAATCTTAACTGGAAAAGTGTTTTGAAGTCACTAGTGTTTTGAATCATCCCCTGAGTGAAGGAAGGGAGGGAGGGCACTGTAGCAAAACCTTCCATAGTGTGTATCTCCTCCTTCCATAAAAGATATTCATGGGAATAATTCACTACACATGAATAAACAAGCACCAGTAGGCCTCTGCCCACTTGACTTATTGAATAACTTGCCCGGCGTACATATATCTATTTCAAAAATTCATGGGAAATAGAATTAAAAGATAATAGACTGCTTCCATGCACTTCTTGAAGCCACCTCCTGTGTCTATTCATATGCATGTTTATGGTTTATCTGATAATGAGAAATACTACTAAGGAAAAGAAAGCAAAGAGGACGTGGGAAGTGTGTGGGGAGATAAGATAATATTTTCCAAAAGCTACCCAGGAATGGTGGCTGCAGTAAAGATGTGAGTTTAAAAAATAAAACAAATAATAACAAGAATAAAACATTTAGAGTCCTGGGGACGAACAACCCAGCTAAGGGAAGGTCACGTGGCAGTATACTGAAGAATGGTGCACCTGCTGGTGATAAGAGCAATAAACACGGCCGGAGTGTAGCTGAAGTTAGAACACTCAGGTCATTTCCGTTTGTGGCAATTACTCGGCCTTTTACTTCACCTAAATGACCAGCCTCGGGAAAATTTGACCAGATAAAGTGTTTGAATTGAACATAACAAATTAATTTTGTATCTTTTAAAAAAATGTTTTCTAAGATGTTTATTCTTTTTTTTTTTAAGATTTTGTTTGGGTCTCTTACAGTTCTTATAACAATCCATACATCAATTGTATCAGGCATATGTGTACATATGTTTTCATCATCATTTCTAGACATTTACTTTCTATTGAGCCTTTGGTATCAGCTCCTCTTTTTTTCTTCCCTCCCCACTCCCACCCTTGTGACCCCTTGATAAATTTTAAATTATTATTATTTTCATATCTTACACCGACCACTGTCTCTCTTCCCTTGCGGTTCT